ATGTACTATATAGAGATTAATATAAAAAAGAGGAATATTTTTTTAATACCGACAAATAATTGCAAAGTTACGCTCAATTTTTTATACGGCTCGTATTTCGAAAGACGCACGAAAACGAAAAATTAATTAAATTATTAATTACACAAACTATATTAAATGTGAAAGTATATAGGAATCGCATGAATTGCGTGATATCGTTTATAGCATAATCGAGAGTTATACTCAAGCGAGAGAAAATTTTACGTTAAACAAAAATAATTGTCGTCCCTTAAATATCGCGAAATAGTAATAAATTCTGGTTTCCATCGAGTTTTTTGGTTCCAATTGATTGAACCGTACAAAATATCTGTTCCGTGATATATGATATATGATCATCTCGATTCTTTTATGAATAATTAAACGTGTGAACTAGTAATCGTATACTGCGAGCATTCATAAAGTACAACGTTTCGTATTACATTTAGCATTTTTCGCGATTATGTTTTAAAAAGGAATATGAAGAAGATCGGCACGCGACACGGCTACCTGCCTATACGAGTCTCGATAAGGGAATGACTGCGCGGTGACTACGCATTAACGTGACGCGTCGCGCCGCCCCGTGCCACCCCGTGCCGCCCCGTGCGGCGTGACGTCCGAGCCGCTCGCCCGCCCGCCCGCATCAAAGCAAACCCCAAGGTCGCGCGCCGATCATTTAACTGTCGAAATATTAACGTATATTACAAAATGTGTAAAATAATCTATTCGTTACATTTTTAATATTCTCCGATTAAGGCTTTAGCTTTACTTCTCTTACATACGTTACGCACACACTCAGCTCATGAATATCTTAGATATTTTAATTGTGTTACGATAAACTATTATTAGTTTGTAATAACTTTTTATTACATGAAATCCGCGTAATGTTTTTAATAAAAGATTGATTCCTTGCGGCTTTTTGTTACTTTCGAATCGTTTAATTCTGTCATTCTCGTGTGTTATTTAGCATTCTTAATCTGGAAAAAGTAATAGATAAATTATATTTAAATTATTTTTATCTCTAAATGTTTATGAATGCTATTCATATACATATATTATTCTATTTATAGTATAGTTCAAATTGTTTCATAATTTAAAAAAGATGTTTGCATTTATCTTTATTTAAAGAATGTATAACATATTATCAATCTTTACTTAATTATAAATCATTTTTTAACTTTTTTTCGATTTTAGTACAAGGTCCACTGCGCCACCTCCTAATTTTGCGTCTACTTTAATCCTAAAATAAAGGATTTTTTATACCGTTCAGTCAATTCGAAGATTTTTATAATATATGACTGTAATGTGATAATTTGATTACTCCAGCATTCCCTTAAAGAAAGCAATAAAAATCGTTGAGATGTCAGAAACACTTCACGTGAACAATTATGTTAAAAAAATCACATTAGCGAACTACTTTTTACCTCTTGCCTTTTGTCAGCACATTAATCGATAAGAAATATTTGAAATTCTAAAACAAATGTCAAATATTTTCTTCGATGTATCACGATATAATGGTAGTATCACATACAACTCGCGCCGTTAAAACTAGAAAGCTAAGTTCTGAGAAAATCGATATAAGAAATTGTTTCTTTCCGCGACGAAAAATACTAATTTATAAATTATACTTCTTTTTATTTAATATAAAGACAAGTTATCTATATATTAATATACAGGGCTTGGTCGTATATTTAAAATATATACTTTTAATAAAAAAGATAAAAAGATTATTTAGTATTCTTTTTTATCAATTTTAAAAAAGCTTTTTCTGACTTATTACTTATTTAAATACTTCAATTAAATTTTTGGAATCTAAAGTACGTTTCGTATTATCTGATATAGTATTTATCGCAAATATGTTTTAAAAATATCGAATTATGTGAAGAAGAGCGACACAGCTACCTGCCTACACGAGCGTCGGTAAATGAATGACTACGCATGAGCGGTAACTGCACGTGAACTGCGAAAACATGACACGCCGCCCTAACGCGTCAAAACAAACTCCAAGAACGTGCGCCGACCATCTAACCGTCGAAATATTAACGTATATTACGAAAAAAGTAAAATAATGTATTCGCTATAATTTTTATATTCTCCGATGAATAGATTTTGGCTGCGTTCCACTGCACGCATAATGCGCATGAGTATCATATTTTATCTTTGTTTGACACTGCGAACAATAAGGATAAAATGATACCACATGCGCATTAAGGTGCAGCCACAATAGAAGGAATAAGGAATTAGGAATAAGAAATAAAGACAATTTCAACCTATCAGAAACCGTGTATTCCAGTGTATCCGATATCTGATACGTTGAAATCTTTATTCCTTATTCTTAATTCCTTATTCCTTCTACTGTGACTGCACCTTTATGTGTGCAACGGAACGTAGCCTTTATTTCTTACAATTAGATTCGTTACACACTCACACAACTCATTTATATCTTAGAATGTCTTAGATATTTCAAATTGTGTTACAATACGCGCAATGTACGCAATATTTTTAACAAAAGATAGACATATTGTGGCTTTTTGTTACTTTTGAATCGTTTAATTCTGCAGTCATTTACGTCTTATTCTTAATCCGCCCAATTACTTCATTACCCGGATGTACAATAGGTGTTTTAAGTCGTAAGAAATTGACCAATTACAGCCGGATTCGAGGAGAATAATCGACTGTGATTCGTCCATTTCTTATGGTTTAAAACTTAGAACTCTATTGTAGATCCGGGGTTATCTAATCAGAAACAAAATATACGTACGTCAGAATCATAGACATATAGAATACAGGAATTACAAATCACTGTTTTATTTCAATTAGTATCATATTTTAACTTAGTATTTAGAATTCAATAAATTTCGCATATTGCATTGTGTGTGTGTGAATTTAAATATACTTATAATTTACAATATCTACTTTTTTGCGGTGCTTCTGATGGAAATAAATCACTGAAATATATATATCGCTGAAATAAATCTATAAAATTAATAGAGATTTCAACGATTTCAGCGATTTATTTTCATCAGAAGCTCCGAAAAAAAATGGACATTGTTGTGAAGTATGCATCCACTTCCTCAAAGGATAGTAGTGTGAGGAAACACTTTGCGATTACAGGAAAAAGGCCCTCATGTCCTCTCTCAGATTTTTCTGTGGTAAAATATTTGATTTGAGGATATATTTATTATTTCTTCTATGTGTGGCATATATTACAATAGTCATCCAATTAAATGTATATTTTAAGCTAAAACACAAACGTTTAAAATAATGTTATTAATATAATGTATTTTTATTTTTACATCAATAATAATCGCATAAAAATGAAGAGAAAAGGAAATTCCTAATATTTTTAGAGTATATAATCACTAACATCGAAACCAATAATTATATAAAATATAACTTTTAAAATAGCTTCTAACTACTACGTATGTATTACAGTGACATTTATAGAATAACATTATTAGAACAGTTATACCTAATATCGCAATTTATCGTACAATAATTCTCAGACATTCTTTATCGAACTGATCCTGTTCTTCCGGTCTTATCATGCGACAAAAGCATGCTGGCATTATCAGGCCGACTATAATAGTATAATATTAATTGGCGCGCTAAACCCTGCAGAACTCCACAATCACCGGAATATATTCACCGAACAGTACATTGTATGCATGTCAATCTCCATAAAAAAGCGGTACGAAAGAACTGTCTATCTTAATTGCGCACTCGACCGTGGATCTGTCGGCAAAATGACCCCCGAAATAGTCATTGCCTGCTATCGTTACGATACGTTCAACATCGAGGAAGTGGTGTTCGTTGTTCTTCCTGAAAAGACAGAGGATCCACCGACAGGAAGCGTCGCTAAAACATACCGGAAATTTGAAATCTAATAAGTGCCTTAAAACAAGAATATTGCAGAAGGCGCGGATAAAACGGATTTTAAGTACAAAGACGACGATGGAAATCTATAAAGTTTAGTTTTACTGTACGGAAAACTGCCAAATTCAAAAGTATGGTGAGAGCATTTCTTTTTCATTTTTTGTCCCCAATATATAAAAATATGTTATCTTTTATTACTATCAAACTTAATGTACTTGTATTATAATAACTTGTAAATATTAAAGTATAAATTATATGAGTATACTATATATATATATATTTAATATGCTATTTAATTATATCTATTTTTTATCAAAATTCATAATAAAATTTTATTATTATCTCTAAAAATATGTTCTGTTATAGAAGCTTTTTGCATTAATGCTTTGTATCAATAAAAATTCTGTTCTGTGACACCAGAATAATTTTTTGTTTCTACTTTAGACAATATTTTTTATTTATATTTATCACATTTATTACATTTATGAGAGCATTCATATTTAACATTGTGTCCTAAATATCAGCTACATGATAATTCATAATTGT